GCCTCCCGATCCAGGGGAGGGCATGTGGCTGGAGCCTGGCCAGAGAGCAGAATCCTCGGGACTTTGGTTAGAATTATCGGGAAAGGGAGGCTCTTTCTGCTGCGATTGCTGGATTTGTCGAGTGTAAACAGAACCACTGGTTACCTGCCATCTAGTTTATTCATTGAGAATAAATGCAACGCAGACAAAGCAGAAATGAGAAACAGGAAACAAGAGAAGTAACTTTGAGAACATGATTTGAGGCCCTGGATCCAACTATGTCTGAAATGAAAATCACTTCTGGAACCTCCCTGGTATGTGAGTCAGTAAATTCCCTTGAACACACATATACCCCTGCACTCCCCCGCAAGCTAGATTAAACTAGGGTTTCTGTTACTTGTCACCAAATCCTGGCTGACACCGTATACAAATCTGCCTATGAAGTGAGTCTGTAATCTACACTCGAAAGCGGCATAAAGCAGAGATGAGCCGTCGCCTCAGGCTGGGGGCAGGGGCGGGGTGAGGGGCTGGATGCTCCGGGCACTAGGAGACTTCTGGGGAGGGGGGTGATGGAAATGTTCTTTTTGGGGGGATGGAAACATTCTATATATTGATTTGGTGATGACATGGGCATACATACATGGGTCAAAGATCATTGAACTATATATTAAATGTGTGCATTTTATCGTGTGTAAATTAGACCCCAATTAGATCAATTACAAAGATTTTTTTAAAAATCCGCCTGTAGGTAAGCCTTCTCTTGAGCTGCCAGGAAACTTCGTGCTGGCACTCTGACTCACTGCAGCAGAGTTTTCCATGAGTTTTAATTCTGTGAACTGTGCCCTGTTGTTTTCTCCAAGCCCCTACTGGCTTCTTTCCAGCCCCGCTGGCTTAAAATGTAATATTTTTGCACTTTTGCATGCTCTGTTGTCCTGATTCGGGAAGATCTCTGCAACATGTTTGCATGGCTTCCTGGCCTGTCACCAATGTGTTTAAGGGCACGTTTCCTTGGACCTGGGCTTCTCCCCATGTATTGAGAGGCTGGACCATAAATGGACCCATCTCTCCGTCCCGCCTTCTAGATGAACCCCTTGGACCCTGGGAAGAGGAATTATCTTGGCTGAGGGTTCTGAACCAAGTCGTGCATATGTGAAAAGACCTTGGGCTTCAAAATTCTAGCATAAAATATCAAACCCCAGTTATCTCAAAACCACAGCTGGCAGGGGATTTGGGAAAGCTGGGCGGATGCCGGAGAGGCATTCTGTCTCCTCTTCCTAAGACGGAAGATGAAGAGGGGAGGAGGCGTCAGCTCTCAGGCCAGGGGCTGCGCTGTCTGTAGAACACATGTCCCTTTGTCACCCCCTTGTTTGTTTCAGACGCCGACAGCCTGAGACTGAGCTGTCCCCTCCTTTGGTCTCGATCGACAGTGGAATCCAGCAAGCCTGGTCTGGGGTGTCCTTGGGCTGCGATGGGCGTGTCCTGTCTACTCCACGCATCACCCCTGAACCCCAACTCCCAGTGCTTTGCTGGTGGGAGACACAAAGGCGGGAGGCCTGAGCTCCCAGGGGAACAGGATGGCCGCTGTGCTGGAGCCTTTGGATGGCGGCTGGGCTCTCGCCAGTGCTGGCCGCCTGGCAGGACTGGCCTTGGATGAGGACATCCACGTGTGCTTCCGCAGCGGGCGCCATCAGGCTGTACCTCGGAGCCCTGCTGTGAGGAGTAAACGAGATCTGTCCGTGGAGCTCTTAGCCCGGGACCCACTGCACACAGTAGGTGCTCAATAAATGGCATCATTGCCCTAACCGCCAGCGCTTGGGATTGGCTGTTCCTGTGAATGCCCCTCCTTCAGCGGCCACCCTCTCCCTTCCCTCCACCTAGTGCCCCAATGCCTGACCGTAGTACACGGGGAAACCGAGGCACAGCACGGCCGGGGTCCCATGGCTGGCAGGCGGCAGCCCCCACCCCATGTCCCGTCACCCCCACACTCCACCCTGCAGATCATGTAGTGGCAGAAAGTCGGGCTTAGTGACAACCAAAGCAGCCGGACAGGGAGACCAGTGCCCTTTCCAGCTCCCAGAAGCCCCTCGGTAGGAGAGGCCGTACCCACCCCCGAGCCTTAGTTCTGCTCTTCTGTTGACCAGCAGCTGTCAGGGAGATGGCCAGACCCCTGGCTCCACACGGTTTCGGGGTGGAAACTGGTGATGCTTAGGGCCCTCGGCTTCCTGCCTTTACCAGACAGAATCCCAGAAAGAGGGAGGCTTGGGGTGGGGGGATGATGAGGGCCCAGCTGTGCTGCCTTGGGGGCGGGGGATAGCAGAGGCTCACTGCCCCACCCTGGCTCGCTTTAATAATTAAATACCAAGGGAGGGGGAAGGAAGGTGGTGGAGGGCCTGCGGCTTCTGCTCCCCGTCCTCCGTGCCGTCTCCCTCCATTAGCTCAGAGATGAGGTGGTCCAGGGCATGGACGGAGGTGCTGGGAATCCTCCTGGGGGCTGTGGGGCGGGGCCAAGAGAAGAAGGCTTGCTTCCTAGCCAGATGGAAGTGATGGTGCATGAGAAGGGTCCAGAGGCTGGGAGAGGCCCGAGTCCTGGAGTCCACCTTCCCAGGCCCAGCGCCCGCTAAGGGCAGATGCATGTTCATATACGGGCCCAGCCCTTCCCTGACCTCCAGGCCCTGGCAGTGGGTGAGGGCTGCCCTCCTGCTGACCAGGCTTGGGTTCTGAGCCGCAGCAGCTGGACCCAGGCAGGGGGACCCCTTCAAGCTCATGGGGGGCAGCTCCCCACAAGTGCTCAGGGCTGGGGACCTGGGGTGGGGCTCGAGGAAGAGATGAACTGCCAGGGCCTGGATTCACTGGGCTGTGAGGAGCCAGGCCCCTAGACGGCCCTCTTGGTCACCTTCAGGCCTGGGAGGCATTTCTGCCCGTGTGGAGGCCTGGGCTGGTGGAAGCTTCCAGGTGGATGGGCCCTGGCCCCGCCCCCTCACATGGGTCCTCAGGGTCGCACCTGGTTTCTCGGAGTCCCCAGAGGTGTCAGATGTGGTGGCATCCAACTCAGCTCTTCCTGGATTCTCTGACTGGTGTGGGGAAGGCAGGCGGGAGGATGGGGAGGGCACACCCCCGGCGCTGGGAGGGGGGCAGGCGGGCACCCTGACTTCCATCATCTGAAGCTTCTGGAACCTCTGCCCACAGACCACTTGGGGTCCCCTCTCCGCAGAGCAGTGGCCTTGCTGAGAGGAGCAGCTGGGCCTGTTAGAAAGGGGAGCTTGGGAGCAGTGGCCTGGGAGGGACGAGTCGGGCTGCCTGGGGGCTGGTCATCAGGGAAGTACCCTTGGGGGTCCGCCCGCCCGAGGGTGGTGCTGCAGCCCCTGCTGTGGGACCACCGGGGTAAGGCAGAGTGGGTCCAGGGTTGGGGCAGAATGCTGGCCGTGGGGCGGTGCTGCTCCCTCGACGGGTGGTTCACTCCGTTAGCCACCCTCCTGCCCGGAGCTCGGGGAGCCACCCTCCCCATCTCTCCCCGCTCTCCCTGCTCCTTACCCGGGCCCCCGGGGCCTCTGCCCTGGTCTCTCCTCAGGCTCACACAGTGAGCAGGTCCCCCCAGAGCTTCCCTCAATGGGGCTGGAGTCCCAGGCCGGATGCCAGGAGCCCAGGATGGGCCTCTTCGGGGGGCTGACCGGAGGCAGGGGGCAGTCAGGAAGCCTTCCTGCCCGGCCCTCGTAGAGCCTGTCTCCTGGGCTCCAGCCTACTGCTGGGAAGTAGGGAGGAGCTGGCACAGGAGGCCAGCCCTGCCTCAGAGAGGTCGGGGCTCAGAGATGTTGGAGCTCAGAGAGAGCAGGGCTCAGAGAGATCGGGGACTTCGGGACGGGGAGCAACAGGAGAAGATGCTGCAGCCCGCCCCGGGGGCCTCTGTGCGCTCACACCGTGTTCCTATGTGCAGGGACCGTGTTAGCTGCACAGGCCTGGCGCCCAGTAGGTGTGATGAAAACTAAGGTTCCCAGGGAAGCAGGGGGCCTGGGAGGGTGAGGAAGCGCACTGGGGTGAGCCAGCAGGGGCCAGCATGGCTGACCAAAGCTCCCTCTGCCAGAGGAGTGGACACCTACCAGGAGATGGAGCACCCAGAGGTGTAGACAGACAGCCAGGAGAGGGAGCACCCCAGAGGTGTAGACAGACCAGCCAGGAGAGGCGGCACAAGAGCTGGGGTACAGAGCAGGCTGCAGGAGGGTGGAGGGGTGCGCAGGAAAGGCTGCCCGGCTGGGCCTCCCGTTGCCCGAGGGCGTCCTCACTGTGGGAACAAGACCACGGACAGGACAGAGGACAGAGCCTTCCTCAGTGCAAGATATAAAATGTTTATTGGTACACATTTACTGTCTTTTATAAAACTTGCTTCAGCTACATGGGCCACTGTGCTCGCAGGTGGGCTGGGGGCCAGGGAGAGCCAGTGCCCACTTTCAGTGGGGGCCTGAGCCCAGAGCCCCAAGGCTGGGCAGACAGCAGCTCGGACACACCGCGTGCTCTGAAGGCTGCTGGAGCTGGCCGGCACGGGGTCAGAAAAGAGAGTGACCCAGCCCAGCTGGCCGAGAGTCCTTCCCATCCCCAGCTCCTCGTGGGGACCAGACACCCTCCTGTTCAAGTGACCAGAGGATGCATCCAGGGGGCAGGGACGTCATTTGCAGAAAGACTGAGCCATAAGGCAGGTTACCAGAAGCCCCTCCCAGACAGACAGCAGCATCTCCTTCGGGGCTGCTCACTAAATGGCCTGGAGAGAATGGAATGGAGGGAAGAGGTGCCCCAGCGGCGGGGACGAAGCTGCTGGCCCGATGGGCGATGGTGCCGGCTGTGTCATTTCCAAGGAGGCCTGACTGAAGGGGGCAGGACTTCGCTGGGGCTGGATGACCCCCCTCCTTTCCTCACCAGCCTGCTGGGAGAGCAGCCCCACCGCCTGGGACAACTTCTGTATAATGGGTCACTGAAGGAGAGCCTGGCGGGGCCACAGGGTCCACTTGCAGGTGGCTGCTCGGTCTCTCGGGCACCCCTGGAGCCTCGGCCCAGGGCGAAGGAGGCATGAGGGGCGGGCGGCAGACTTTCCTCCTTGCGCATGGGCACCGGGGCGGCTGCCCAGCTCCTGTCCTGCAGCAAAGGGTCTCTGGAGGCCACCGGCTGCTCCCGGTCCCTGCCTCCTCTCCAGGTGCAGACCTCTCAGGAGGCGTTCCCAGAGGGACACTGCATCTCCATGGTGACCGTGTTGGGCGTGCCGCCCCCGGCCTCCCCCAGCTCGGCGCCGTCTCGCAGGGCCCGCTGGAAGACCACCCGTAGAGGCTCCCACAGCCGCTGCGACTTGTCCCTGCCGGCCAGGAAGTAGACGACAGGCTTGGAGCTGCTGTTGATGCAGATGCACAGGTCGGTGACGTACTCGGGGAAGGGGGCCGGGATCTGGAAGATCCAGAAGAGGAACCAGTCGATCCCCAAGTAGATGGAGGACACGAGGAAAACCGAGACCATGGCCAGGATGACGTGGTTGAGCTTGGCGGAGCGCTGGCGCCGCCGGGCCCGGCATTCCACGTGCAGGATGAGCGCCAGGCAGGGCAACACCATGAGTGGGCAGAAGACCAGGAAAAGCAGGATGCCCAGGAAGATGTCCATGTGCCTGCAGGCCACCCCAGAGGCCTGGCGGCCCAGGAACACACAGAAGTAGTTGTGGATACTGGTGACCAGGAGCGACAGGGTCCAGAGCAGGGCGCACACCACAGCCGACAGGCGCTTGGGCCGTCGGCGCCAGAACCAGGCGGGAAAGATGACCGACAGGCAGCGCTCCGAGCTGATGGCTGGCAGGAGGCTCACGCCGGCGAGAAACATGCAGAGCCCCAGGATCCTGCACACGGCGCGGATGTAGTCGGCAAACGCGCCCAGGAAGCCGCCCGTGTTCAGGATGGAGAAAGCGGCCTTGCTAAAGAGGTAGCCGACGTCGGCGCTGGCCAAGTGCAGGAAGTAGGTGGAGAAGGGGCTCCTCTTGATGGAGAAGCCGAAGATCCAGAGCACCAGCCCGTTGCCCACCAGGCCGCACAGACAGAGGAGCAGGAAGATGTAGTTCATGACGGCCGGTGGGGGCAGCATGGTGATCTGCTCGATGGTCAGGAAGCCACGGCTGTAGAGCTCCGGGGCCTCGCTCACGCCGGGGCATATCTGCGCAGGTGCAGAGGGGAGACGCCTGGTGATGCTGGCTGGGCCCCACGCCCAAACCCGCCCCAGGTGTGCTGGTCCTGATTACGGACCCGTACAGCCACTGGCCCTGGAGCAGAAGACACCCCTGACCCCACATAGTGCTACCACTCTGTGCCCCAGGGAATGGAGCTAGCGGCCTGCAGGAGGGAAAATAATCAGGCCGTAATTCGGGCACTGGCCTGCCCAGCTGTCAGAATAGACTCTGGTCCAAAAATGTCCATGTCATGCAGCGTAAAGAAGAACTGAGGGACCTTTCCAGATGGAAAGAGACTAAAGAGACATGACCAATAGATGCAGTGCTGGGATCCTGGATGTTACAGTGGATCTAACAACTGCAACAGAGGCTGTTACTGGGATGACTGGGGAAATGTGAATAGGGACTACGGATGGATGCTGGTATTGCATCAACGTTACATTTTCTGAATAGAAAACGGACTGTGGCTATGTAGGGGAATGTCCTTGTTCTTAGAAGATACAGGCTCTTTGGGGCAAAAGGGCTTGGTGTCTGCAATTTACTTTCAAATAGCACTGGGAAAGAAAGTCTGTCTATCCAGAGATGCATAGAGAGAAAACACACGTGCCGAAAGGTTAATAATTAACGGATCAGTGAAGGGTACAGGGGTGCATTGAACTATTCTTGCACATTTCCTGTACACTTGTGATTTTCACAATAATACATAAAAATATTTATTTAAAAAATAAAATCATTTGTAAGTTACAAAAAATAGAAAAACAAAACTCAAAAAGCGGACCCTGGCCCATAGTGGGATCAGAGAGAACCGGGGAACCAGAAGCTGGGCCAAGGTGACCCTTTGGGTTTCTGAACTGTGAGGGATGTGGATCTGGCCTGGGGGTCCCTGGGGAGGGGACACACTTGAGGCAGTGGGCATTTATCACGCTCAGTATTTTAACAACTGGCTGTAGGAGTGCATCCCACTGAGTGTCAGTCTTGCCTGCAGCATCAGGGCCGGCATGTAAATGCATGAAGGTGAGCCCGGGGCAAGAAACTGGTGTTGGGGGAGGTAGGGGGGCAAAGCAGAGGCACCCATCCTGAGCAAAGTGGGTGCTGGGTGGACAGGCAGGCTGGGGGGCCGACCATCCTTTCCCCCTCTTCCCAGAGAAGCCAGAACTGCAGATCATAATGTGAACTATCCTGATCTTTAAATGTTCACATTTAAAAAACACTGTGTGGGCCAAACACAACACAAGACAAGCTGGATTCAGTTCTCAGGCCGTCGATTTTGACCTCTCATTCCCAGCGGCAAAAGCAGGCGGCCCAGAGCTCTACGCCCCTTCCCACACCCCGGCAGACAGCACCCATCCACCCCAGCCCTCTCCCACCGAGCCTGAACCTGGCCTTGGCCCTCCCCGCAGGCTGGCTATCAGTTCCCATGGCTCAAGACTCGCCAAAAAAGAACCGGGAAGGTTCTTGAGGCAGGACAATTCTGCTACCTTCCAGATGGCCCCCAGCTCGGGCAGAAAGCGGGGGCCTGAAAGATTGCTCTCTGGATCTGACCACGCTCTCCTCCAAAGGGAGGGGACTTCTGGCCTGGCTGGGGCAAGGGGAATCTGCAAGCAGGGACTGGAGGGTGTTGGCACAACTTTGGGGAGACTCCGTGAGGTCAGAGCAAGCACTTTAAGGGGGTCCTATCCACCAGCCATCAACTTTAACTAGCTTTATTGGCTCAATATCTCTATCCATCTGTTGACCCCCAAATCCCTTAGCTTGCTCTTTACTCAGCCTTTCCTGTTGGTGGCTTTGACCGCTCCAAGCCACCGAGTAGTCTCCTGTCAGCCTCCTCTCAGCTGGGGTACCAGACCCAGTCACTCCTAAGACGGGAGGCAATTGGGCTGCAAGGGCTGGACCCGAGAGAAGGGATCATTCGCTGCCTCTGCAGGCTGGAAAAAGTCTGCAATCCCCTCCTTGGAGTCAGAGAGGGAGGGCGGGTGAGTCACTGGGTGTGTAGCTGCCGTCCCCGGCCGCATACCGCCTCGTAAAATGCCTGCTCTGGAGCCTGGCCCCCCTCCCTGGGTGCTGTCTTTTCTCTGGGGATTCCCCCCCGCTCCCCAACAAGCCAGTCCCATCTCTGCCTCCCTGGCTGCCACTCTGCAGTGGTCACCATGGGAAGCAGGACAGGGCCGCAGGCATGGCAGGAAATGGCAGGGAATAGGGTTCAGGGACCCAAGCGGGAGTCCCGCCTCTGCCTCCACCTCTGGGCTCACCCCAGTCCAGTTACTACGCTGGTGTCTGCCTCAGTTTCCCCAAATGTGGAAGAGGTTGCACCAGGTAAACTCGAGGGGTCCTTCCAACTTGAGAGTGTTTTGGCCAGGATTCAGAAGGGAATTCCAGAGTTTCCAAAGGCCTCAGAGGAGTAGAGGGCCAGTGGGGGGAGGACAGAGGCTATGGGTCAGCCTGATGGTCTGTCAGAGTCTCAGCCATAGCTCGTGCCTGGAGAAGGGCGGGGGGTGTGACCTGTGACTAACGGACCTTGGCCTGGGGCAACACTGGTGGGATGGCCTAGGGCGGGTAACGCTCTGGGAAGCATGTGACATCAGGGCCACCTTGGAGCCAACCTCTGGGGGCCTCCTGGCAGGGCCTGGCCGTGGGAAGTAGCTGACCGCCCCATCTCCACAGGGAAGAGATGGAGCCAGGCTTCTGAAGGCTGCTAACAGATGCCCCCAAGGTCTGCATGGGAAGGGATTTGAGAGTGTCCAGTCCCCTGTGCTTGCTTCTCTGGTGAGGACACTGGGGACCTGAGGGACCCAGTAACCAGTGCCAGGCCACACAGCCCAGAGGGGCCCTGCTGCCCGCCTGTCTGTCCCGAGCTAGATCACAGAGCCTGGGCGAGAGAGAGAGAGAGAGAGAGAAAGAGAGAGAGAGGGAGTGTGTGTGTGTGCGTGTGCGTGCGTGTGCGTGTAATGCTGGGCTGGGTCTGCCCCCTCCCACCACACCCTCCCGACACAGAGTCCTCCCTGCCGTGAGCTGCTGCCCCCGGCGGCACCTGCCTTGTTCCTGTTGGCAGGATGGGCCTCCCAGGAGCAGTTTCCCGCCATCTCCAGGCCTGGCGAGTCCAGATTCCACACGGCTCTGCTCTCGGCTCACCTGCCTGCAACCCAACCTGGCAAAGGCAGAAAGGGTCGCATCAGTGTTCTCCGCCCCCTCCCAGACCCCTGTCCCCAGGTCCCTAGGGCTGTCACCTTAGAAGAAAGGTGATGAGCAGTCCCCTGGCTTACTCACAGGCAGGGCGGTGTGGGAGGCACAGGGACTGCCCTGCAGAGTCCAGAGCAGGTCACTTCACGCCCCCTCTCCTCCTGCCCTGGCTCCTCATTCGCCCCCCTGCTGATGCTAGTCGCCCACTGCCACGGGCTGGGGAGGAAGCCCCTCTCCTTCCCCGACTCTCGCTCTGTCTGTGAGATTTCTGGAGCCCAGGTGGCTTCCGGAGATATATCTTTAATTAGCCACACACATTTCCTGGGTGCCTCCTTTGTGCCCACCCCAGGGTGCGACAGAGGTTCCTGGCTGTCAGTCCCAGAAGGCAGGGAGGCTTCCTGGAGGAGGAGACCTTTGGCTGGGCCTTGGGTATGTAACACGCTAAGGTATCCCCCTACAGGGGACTGGAAGGCAGGACAGCCCAGCCATCATGAGCATCATTGTCACCACCATCAACCCCGGGAAAATGAGTAGCAGCATGAGGTGGGCACTGTGTCAGTGGCCCACACCCATCCTCCCGTTTGGTCCTCAGTACCAGCAGAGGCAGGTTTTGTCACTCCCCTTTGACCCGAGCACTGAGGCTCAGGGAGGCGAGGTCACCTGGCCAGCGGCACAGCCATAACCGCGGCACACGCTGCAATTCTGGAGATCTGTGTTATCTTCAGGACTAGAGAGCTGCGTAGGAGGGAGCGGCTGGAGGGGTCAAGCCAGGAGGCCACTGCGGTTACCCCAGCTCCAGGCTGGAGGAGGGGCAGCTGGACTCCGCCAGGACTGCAGGTCGGGGAGGCGTTGTCCCTGCCGGAGACCGGCCCACCCCGGCCGGGCAGAGCTCACTTGGTCTGCCTGCCCCGGGGTTCTCTCGAACTGACTCCTGTCCCCCAACCTGGGCTCTGCCCCTGCAGGCAAGCACCTCTCCCTCCCACTGTGCAGGTGGGGAAACTGAGGCTGCAAGCGGGGCAGGGGGTCTTGCGAGGGCACGGCCAGGCGGCAGGCAGCCGGGCCCCTCCACCGCCTGGAGGGAGCGCAGGGCAGCGCGCTTGGCTGACTCCCCCGGAATTCCTGCCTCCGCCGCCCGCGGCCGCCACGCGCACCCACTGCACCCCCTCCAGCCGGTGGGCGTGGCCGAGGCAGGCGCGCCCGTCATTGGCTGGAATGGGTGGCCGTCCGCGCGAGTGGCCCGCCCCCCCCTTAACCCTTGGGACCCCGGAGCCTGTGGAGCCAGTGCCGCCCCGAGGGGCTGGGGCGGGGCACGGGGCGCGGAGATTCCCGCGCCGGTGCTGGGCCCCCTCGCTCCCCGCCCGCCCCGCGCGCCTCGGTCCCGCGCGGATGAACAGCGCGGCCCTGCGCCTTCCGGGGGACAGCGAGGGGGCTTGCGCCGGTGCCCCAGGGTGGCTTCGCGCCGAGTGGGAACCCCTGTGCCCGAGAATAAGTGAGCGAGTTCATGATGCGTGTGCAATGTGCTTGCAGAGGGCGGGGTCCGCGGTGCGCATATTTAACCCCCCCATCTTGACTCTAGTTGGGTTGCTGTCCGCGCTGCCATTGACAGGCCTCGTGCTTCTCCACCTGTTGGGGCTGGCCCAAACTTTCCCCGTGGCTGCAACCCCAAAGCTACCCACCTCACCCCCATCCTTCCTGCCCCCAGGTCCACTCCACCCGGGCTGGTCCCACTCTTCTCAGTGGCCCTTCCAAACGCACACCACCCCTAGCTCTGGGCCCTAGGTTTGGCCCCCAGGGATGTCCTGACTCAGGAGTGCCGTGCCCTTTCACCTCTGCCAGGCTAGACCTGCAACCACACAGATGCCCCCCAAGGGCAGCTGGCTGGAGCCTGCCCATGAGGCCAGGCTGGCACTGGGCATGTGGTTGGCAGGAGCCCACCTCTGCTGATTGATTCCATGTGTGGGTGTCCCTTGTGTGTCTCTGAGCCCTCGTCCTGTCCTGCCACGGGCAATCTGAACAGCTATTGCACTCATGCGGAGAGATCTGGAAGCCAAGTGGACCCCACGTGCAACGTAGAAAGACATGCGTGTGACATGTGTATGGGGTGGTGTGAGTGTGTGCGCCCCTCAGGTCAAGATCTGGCCTATGACAGAGCCAGCGTCAGGTAAAGCAGACAAAAATGCTGCCAGCTCAGCTCACCCCTGACCCTCCCTTCAAAACACAAGCCCCCGAATGGGCCCCCAGCCACCTGTTTGCCTCCTGCTGCCTGGGTCTCAGGAGGTTCATCTTCTCCTGTCACCCTCGCTCCACCTCCCCCCAACCCCAAACTAATTTGGGGCCCCCAAGGCCACCAGGCAAGGCTGTCCTCCAGGAGGCCTAGATGGGAACCGTCGGACTCCAATTCTCAAACTGTTCTCCCAGACCCTCTCCTTGTCCCCGGCTGGCCACCACCTGGGCTGGGCCTGAGAGCACTGGCTTTGAGGTGGGCTCCTGGCTGTCACCCACTCCAGGTGCAGAGCCTGTGTTTCTCCCTCCAGGCCCCCTGAGAACCCTGCTCACAGCTTAGACTGAAGAGGTTTATTCTCTTATTGGGGGGAAGTGAGACCTTCCAGAACTCTCACGAACAATACCAGCACGGGGCGCCTCCGGCCTGGGAGAAGGTGGGACGCAGCTGCCCAGCCTCCCGTGGCTGCCATCCCTCGGTGTCCACCCTGGGGCCGGTCCTGCGGCTGCCTGAGCTCAGCACCGACAGAAGGCGAGGAGAGCAGTGGGTGAGCGTGAGAGCGATGGGAGCTGTCTCCCTGAGCTTGGGATGCTGCCCGCTGGGTGTTCCCTTCCCGCCCTTCCAGAAAGCACGCTTGGCTGCTGGAGAGGGTGGAGGAGGGACATGGGGGAGCCCCCATTCCCAGGAGGGCAGAGCAGGAGCTGGAAGTGGAGGACAGCTTGGGGGGCAGAAACTGCCAGAATGTCAGGGCCTGCCACCCTGAATGGGGACTCGCCAAGCTCTCCTGTGTCCCTGGGACTCCTGGAGCCTCGGGGGTGGTGCAGGAGGTCCGCCGGCGGGTGACAGCCTTGCCCTGGGTTCCCAGCACTCCCTGCATGGGGCCGTGTGATTCCTTCAGCCCCAGCTGGCCTTCCCTGTGCAGCCCCGAGTCCGGACCGCCCTCCCCTGGGCTCTGGGCCCCGCCGAGCTACCTGCAGCTGTCCCGATCCCGATCCTCGGAGGCCTCCCCGCTGTGGAGGGCTCCTCCCGTCGACGCCCACCTCCAGCCTCGACCCAAGGGGCAGCCGGCCAGTGAGGAGCTCTGCCCCGAGCCTCGGAAAATGCGAGCTCAGAGTGGAGGAGAGCCCTCGCCTGCTGCACGAAGAGATGGCCTTGGAAGCAGAACCCGCCCCAAACCCAAGTCCAGGCCCGGCGGGAGGGGGAGGGGGAGGAGGGAGGAGGAGGGGCTGAGCTGGGATGAGGCTTCAGGAAGGAATGCCCCGCTCGGGAGCCCCCCCAGAGCCCCGCTGGGAACTCATCTCTCCGCCTGGTGACGTCACGTTGGCCCGAGCACTGCGGCCCGAGTCCAGCTGTTCATCTCCCTCACATCCTGCAGCTCCAGCAGGCTGTCCCGGAGAAGGAGCGCCAGGCTGTCCACTCGCCTGGTGCCTTCTGGCTGCTTCCACTGGGCATTTCGGGGCATTTGGGCCCAGGAGGGGCGGGTCCCACCTGTTTGTTGAAATGTACTCAGGGGCTGATATGGAGACACCAGGAGGCGGTGGGTGAGGGCTCCACGGAGGGGCGGTGCAGGTGCTTCAAAGAGAGAATTGGCAGAAGGGCGTGACTCCCCCGGGGGGCACCCCAGTCTCCCTTCCCACCCTGGACTCTGCCCAGGGCGCCCTGCGGGCTTCTGGAACCGGGAATTCCCTTTTCCCAGCCCTAATAGCAATCAGATGGTGCAAGTGGAAAATCACAGTCCTCGCCTGGGCTGAGGGGGGAATTGGCGGGCTGTGGTGCCTGGTGCGTGTGCCGCTCAGTGGGAGGATGAGTCAGCCTCCCCCTGCCCCGCCATGAGCCCCCGTGGGGTCCTGGGGCACTGAGCCAAAGCCTGGGGAGGGGGGGTGCAGGAGCCCGAGGAGTGGCTGTGAGGATGGCCGTGAGTGAGGAGTGGCTTCCCAGGGAGCCACCGGGGAGGGGCCCCTGCCCTGGGCCAACTCTCTCATGGCCCAGGGAGCCCAAGGGAATTCCGATCAGTGCTTTCCCTGCGGGAGCAGATAGTGCCCAGATTGTGGCGTGCCTCTGGGCATCTTGGAGAGAACCCAGAAGCAGAACTTCCCCTGCACCTGCCCGGGAGCGCAGGCCTCTGTGGAGGAACCCGGCGTCCTGCACTTGGGCTGGAGGAGCCGGGGGTTGTTCCCTGCGTGGTCCAGCTGGCGTCCTGGGCCTTTGCTTTTAGGGAGGGGGGAGAGGGAGGGCTCTCGGGGGGCCGCGCCCGAGGCTGTGAGAGAGGCTGGGCAGGCGGCAGGCCGCGTGGTGACCCTTCCCTCCCCTCCTCTCTGGGGCAGGCGAGCCGGGGCCCAGCTGGGCCGCTTGTTTACACGAGGAGGCCAGGCGGAGGCGGGAGGAGGGCCGAGAGCAGGCAAGTTCCAAGAGTAATTGCATTTGGACACTTAAAAGGAATTGTGTGAAGTGGGCAGTGGCTCCGAGTCCGCTGCCTTATTTGGTCTGGAAATTTGTTTCTTTCGAAACTAATGAGAGGCGCTTGCGGATGGAGAGTCGTCCCGTGCCTGGGTTTGCGGGGTCCCGTGGCTGCCCGGTGTCCCCACCTGGGGAGCAGTGAGTCAGGGCTGCCGGGGGCAGCCTGGGGGCTGGGCTCCTGCAGGGACAGTGGAGGGACCCCGCTGGCTGGCGCTGGGGCTCCCGAGGCTGCCTCCAATCTTGGGTGACCCTGGGCATCGGTTTTCTCACCTGTCGGGTGGAAAAAATCGTGCTTCACGGAGGAGCAGTGAGGAAGGGATCGGATGTCAGGTAGGAAGGCCCTTCATGCACCTCGAAACACTGCCCCGGGCTCAACGCGTGGGCCTGGCGTCAGCCATTCATTCGTTCATCATCCGTTCGTTCATTCGTTCATTCGCTCCCTCCCTCCTTCCCTCCACAAGGCTTAGGGCTCAGGCCTGAGGTGACCAGCCCAGTGCTGGCCAACACGGAGACGGAGACGAGGTCCCTGCTCCCTCGCATCCTGTCCTCATGCGCTGAACAGCCACCACCCTGCCATCAGGTGTCCCCCTCCGCCCCTCCCAGGAGAAAGGAACTTTATTTTTAATTTTTCCCTGCCATGGGCCTCACAGGAGGCCTCTGTGGTCCCACACCCCACCCCACACCCCCCACCAAGGGTGCAGGCCAGGCCCCTCCTCTGCTGGGGCTTCCTGGGGGCAGAAGGCTGGGTCTGGGCAGGGCTGTCTCCTGCCAGGGTCCTTCTGTGGTCCACGGTTGCCCCGCTGCTCCCCGGACGATGGGTGGGGCACGGACCGGCCTTGCTGCGGCCCCTCTGAGCTGGCAGGGCAGCAGAGCCTCTGGGGTCCTCTCACATGGCAGGTGTTCCCGAGAACCTGCTGGGCCCCAGGCCCTTGCTCAGGGCTGATGAACAGCTCAGACAAGGTCTCTGCCCTCAGGGAGCGACAGCAAGCCGGGAGGCAGACTGGAATCAGAAGACCCAGATGTGTAAGAGTGCACCTGGCCAGAAGCCACGCAGGGCCAGGTGGGCCAGGTAGATCAGCATGACATCTCTGAGGAGGCGACCACGAGCCCATGGGGAAGGTTGGGCAGGAATGACTCAGGAGAGAAAGGGAAGGAAGGCATCCCCAACAGAGGAAATGGCCTGTGCAAAGGCCCTGAGGCAGGAAGATGGGCAGCACAGTGAATGAGGGGCTGGAGGAGGCCGAGGGGATGCACAGAGGGCAGAGGTGTGGATTAGGACCCGAGATGGGCAGCTCTGAACGGCCCCTGAGTCCTAGGATCTCGCTCTCCTTGTCCTGTTCTCACCTCTCTGAGCCACACGTCCCATCTGCTCAGGGGACAAGTGCGGTGATGGTAATGACAACAACTACAGCCACCATTCACTTGTCCTGTGAGCCAGGGCCTACGTAGACTGAATCATTTAATCCTCACAACATCCCCATTTTACAGTCATCCAGCACACAGTTCCTGAACACCCGCCATGTGCCAGGCACTGTTCCAGGCCCTGGAAATCCACTGATGGATGAAGCAGATAAAGATCCCTGCTGGCTGGGTGTCCAGATTCTGGAAATGAGGAAACTGAGGTCCAAGGAGAATCTCTGTGTATCTGCTGGACACCCCCCACTCCAACAGGACCTGAGCTGGGGAACTGGGCCACTTTATGTCTACTGGGCATGGAGATGTCAAGATGCGAGGAGAGCTCCGGAGCCCCGGGATCTCGCCCTGGCTCTGCCTCTGACAAACGGAGGGAGACTGAGCCTCGGTTTTCCCATTGTACCAGGGAGTGGGAGTGGTGGGGTGGGATTTGATGACACCTCTGCTCCACGCCCTGTTCTCACCTTCCACTGCAGCTCTGGTGGGCTCATTCTTCTTTTTTCTCAGCAGATCTATTGAGATATAATTCACATACCAAGAAATTCAGCTCTTTATAAAGTGTACAATTCAGTGGTTTTGGTATATTCACAGACTTGTGCAACCAACACCACAATCTAATTATAGAACATTTTTGTCACCCCCAAAAGAAACGCCGGACCCGTTAGCAGTCACTCCCCATTCCCCCACTCCCCAGCACCTGGTGGCCACTAATCTGTTTTCTGTCTCTGTGGATTTGCCTATTCTGGACATTTCATAGAAATGGAATCACATACTTTGTAGTCTTTTGTGACTGGCTTCTTTCACTCAGCGTAAGTTTTCAAGGTTCATCTGCGTTGTAGCGTATATCAGTGCTTCATTCTTTTTTACCGTGGTAAGCTGGTTCTTTAGGGCTGTGTGGTCCCAGGTCCTTCTCTCTTCTGCTTGACTAAGATCCTCCAGGAGTCAAGGCAAATGTGTGCGTGGTCTGGGTCTCCCAGGCTAATTCCCAATGCCCTCTGGTTTCAACCCTTGAGATAAAAAGATCTCTCTAAGGTCTAGCTGGCTTACCTGATGGGGAAGGGTGAGTGGGACCTCCTCCTCTTCTCTTCCCCTCCTGCAGCCAGGCTGGACCACCCATGATGGAAGGTGCATCTT